ATTATAGGGAAAAGTGGGTTTTAAATGTGAGGCTTGTTTTACGGCTACCTAGGAATGCGTTTTTAAAGCCTAATGAAGGACTGGTTTATGGCTTTACAATTATCTCAGATTGAGAAGAACAGACACTCGGGCACCAGCTAATTTGGGATTTATAACCATGAAGCTGTCCTGCTGTGCCTAATTGCCTTTGCACTTCTGAACCCAGCACACAGGGACCATGTGTCACTCAACAGAGAGGTAGGGGGGGAAGCTGATTTGGAGTAGAAATGATACAAGATGGAGGGCCTTTGGCAAAATGGAGGTTCGCATCCATCTCTATAAGTACAATTGCTACAATTACCATCATGTGGGCACTGTTTGTGGCCCGAAGACAAATTGCCCTTAGATGGACCTCCCAACATCTGCCTACCTATCCGACTGGATATTTGACCTTTGAAAAACATACATATATTTTAAGGAATTCCATGAGAAAATTCGATGTTATTTGGTCAAAATTGATTAAACATATGTTTCCTTTATGGGAATAGGTTATTATGTATTTATGTTTTAATTACTGGTGCCTACACTCGGGGAAACATGACACGTTTGTGCATATAGATAGTGGGTTTAGATGACTGTTTGTAGATCTGGGCATCTCTATGGTTGTATCTCTCCATAAATATATTATGATGTCTTAAAGCTGCAATGATAGCTGGATGGAAAGGTTTTCTTGCTTTTTTAAATTGTTTTTATGTGGGTGTTTTGTGTTTTTTCTTTTTTGTGAAGCCCCGCATGGTGAGAATTGTATGTACAGTTTAAAATAACAAATAAAAGCGAGCGCTCCTAAAACATAAGCAGCTGGACATTCAAGGAAACCAAATAAAGCCTTGTCAAAATCGCATAACAATATGTGCAGCGCTAATCATCAAACAATGGTATCTGATAAATATCACAAAATATATCCACAATAGTGAAAACAACCAGTGACAGTTTTTTTATATATATCGTGATAAACAATATCCAGTCCTGTGATGGTGCTCCCTGTGTTTAAGGTAAAAAATTGCGCACTAACCAGAAGCGTAATGCAATCACGCGGTGTGTAAATATCATACAGATCCCCTTCACTGGTCTGGGTCCAGACTGGAACTCAAGATAGGTTCTCCTTCAGGTTGGTAATGATGAATAGCTCTCAGTAGGTGTAGATGAATCCGATGAGCCAGAGATCACCTTTAAGGGATAGATGGGTGAAGATTCCTGAGTTACAGGTATTCCCCTCTTTGGGTCTGATGGATGGATCACAGCAGGGCTCTGAAAATATTAAAGCTCCTCAAGGGAGACCAAGGAAAGTACCCATTGTGGAGTAATTATGTACTAATTTATTGGATAGCAAAAAACGATATTTAAAAAAAGATGTAATCAATACAGCAGCATCAGATAGGTACAAGTGACTGACCATCCAGATATAAAGATGGCCGCCGGGCCTCCACGTGGCACTGGCGGTGTGACGTCACGATGTCCTAGGCTCCACCTGACGTGTTTCGTGCACACGCACTTCTTCAGAGGTAGAGGCTAAGATTAAGTAAAAATAAATAAATACTCCTGTGCCACAAAATTTCTATAGCCCTAGGTATAAGATGCTGCTGTGCAGTAGTGTAAACACCAAAACATCAAAAACAAAATTAACCAGCGCAAATACCTATACCAATCACTTAAATCACACTAAATACATAAATGTGAGGAAAATTACCCATACTTGTGACACTCCTAAAAATTGTATATATACAATGATAATAACTAGAGATGAGCGAATCGAACTTGGCGAAGTGGAATTCGTTTCGAATATTAGGAAAAATTCGATCCGAAAATTAGCATACTTCGGATGCGCGAATCGAAATTTTTCCAAAAATGGCGGCGACATGTGTGGCGGACGGAGCGGGGATCTCTGGGAAGGCGCGCAGACAAGGCGCACTGACCCATAATGCATTCATTCAGACATGTGATCGCATAGCCAATCAGCAGCCAGCCAGCCAGCACTGTGTAATGGTGGAGCTATAAATTGCGGCCATCTTTACAATTCTCCATTTGCCTCCGGTCATTCAAGAGAGACAGACCTCTCTGTATTAGGGACAGAGTTAGGGCCACAGATTACTTTAGGGACACAGAATCGTTACTTAGGGACACAGAATTGTTACTCAGGGACACAGAACTGTTACTCAGGGACAGACACAGAATTGTTACTGAGGGACACAGAATTGTTACTGAGGGACACAGAATTGTTACTGAGGGACACAGAATTGATACTCAGGGACACAGAACTGTTACTCAGGGACACAGAACTGTTACTCAGGGACACAGAATTGTTACTCAGGGACAGACACAGAATTGTTACTGAGGGACACAGAATTGTTACTGAGGGACACAGAATTGTTACTGAGGGACACAGAATTGTTACTCAGGGACAGACACAGAATCTTGTTACTCAGGGACAGACACAGAATTGTTACTGAGGGACACAGAAACTGTTACTCAGGGACACAGAAACTGTTATCAGGGACACAGAATTGTTACTGAGGGACAGACACAGAATTGTTACTGAGGGGACACAGAATTGTTACTGAGGGACACAGAATTGTTACTGAGGGACACAGAATTGTTACTCAGGGACAGACACAGAATTGTTACTGAGGGACACAGAATTGTTACTGAGGGACACAGAATTGTTACTCAGGGACACAGAATTGTTACTCAGGGACACAGAACTGTTACTCAGGGACACAGAACTGTTACACAGGGACACAGAATTGTTACTCAGGGACAGACACAGAATTGTTACTGAGGGACACAGAATTGTTACTGAGGGACACAGAATTGTTACTGAGGGACAGACACAGAATTGTTATGAGGGACACAGAATTGTTACTGAGGGACACAGAACTGTTACTGAGGGACACAGAATTGTTACTCAGGGACACAGAATTGTTACTCAGGGACACACAACTGTTACTGAGGGACACAGAATTGTTACTGAGGGACACACAGAATTGTTATTGAGGGACACAGAATTGTTACTGAGGGACACAGAATTGTTACTCAGGGACACAGAATTGTTACTCAGGGACACAGAACTGTTACTCAGGGACACAGAATTGTTACTCAGGGACACAGAACTGTTACTCAGGGACACAGAATTGTTACTCAGGGGACAGACACAGAATTGTTACTGAGGGACACAGAATTGTTACTGAGGGACACAGAATTGTTACTGAGGGACACAGAATTGTTACTCAGGGACACAGAACTGTTACTCAGGGACACAGAACTGTTATACTCAGGGACACAGAACTGTTACTCAGGGACACAGAATTGTTACTCAGGGACAGACAAAGAATTGTTACTGAGGGACACAGAATTGTTACTGAGGGACACAGAATTGTTACTCAGGGACACAGAATTGTTTACTCAGGGGACAGACACAGAATTGTTACTGAGGGACACAGAATTGTTACTCAGGGACAGACACAGAATTGTTACTGAGGGACACAGAACTGTTACTCAGGGACACAGAACTGTTACTCAGGGGACACAGAATTGTTACTCAGGGACAGACACAGAATTGTTACTGAGGGACACAGGAATTGTTACTGAGGGACACAGAATTGTTACTCAGGGACAGACCAGAATTGTTACTCAGGGACACAGAATTGTTACTGAGGGACACAGAATTGTTACTCCAGGGACACAGAAATTGTTACTCAGGGACACAGAACTGTTACTCCAGGGACACAGAATTGTTACTCAGGGACAGACACAGAATTGTTACTGAGGGACACAGAATTGTTATGAGGGACACAGAATTTGTTATCAGGGACAGACACAAAATTGTTACTCAGGGACACAGAACTGTTACTCAGGGACACAGAATTGTTACTCAGGGACAGACACAGAATTGTTACTGAGGGACACAGAATTGTTACTGAGGGACACAGAATTGTTATTGAGGGACACAGAATTGTTACTGAGGGACACAGAATTGTTACTCAGGGACACAGAATTGTTTCAGGGACACAGAACTGTTACTCAGGGACACAGAACTGTTACTCAGGGGACACAGAATTGTTATCAGGGACAGACACAGAATTGTTACTGAGGGACACAGAATTGTTATGAGGGACACAGAATTGTTACTCAGGGACACAGAATTGTTACTCAGGGACACAGAATTGTTACTCAGGGACACAGAATTGTTACTCAGGGACACAGAACTGTTATCAGGGACACAGAATTGTTACTCAGGGACACAGAATTGTTACTGAGGGACACAGAATTGTTACTCAGGGACACAGAATTGTTACTCAGGGACAGACACAGAATTGTTACTGAGGGACACAGAATTGTTACTGAGGGACACAGAATTGTTACTCAGGGACACAGAATTGTTGTCAGGGACACGCGAATAGTTACTCAGGGACACAGAATTGTTACTCAGGGACAGACAGAATTGTTACTTGAGGGACACAGAATTGTTACTGAGGGACACAGAATTGTTACTCAGGGGACACAGAATTGTTACTCAGGGACACAGAACTGTTACTCAGGGACACAGAATTGTTACTCAGGGACAGACACAGAATTGTTACTGAGGGACACAGAATTGTTACTCAGGGACACAGAATGTGTTACTCAGAGGACACAGAACTGCTTTACTCAGGGACACAGAATCTTTACTCAGGGACACAGAACTGTTACTCAGGGACACAGAATTGTTACTCAGGGACAGACACAGAATTGTTACTGAGGGACACAGAATTGTTACTGAGGGAAACAGAATTGTTACTCAGGGACACAGAATTGTTACTCAGGGACACAGAACTGTTACTCAGGGACACAGAATTGTTACTCAGGGACAGACACAGAATTGTTACTGAGGGACACAGGAATTGTTACTGAGGGACAGACACAGAATTGTTACTCAGGGGACACAGAATCTTACTCAGGGACACAGAATCGTTGAATTAAAGGTATGTCAGACAACACGCAGAGGAGTGGCAGAGGAGGCAATGTTTCAGGAGCGAGCAGACGTGGCAGCAGATGAAGGGGTCGAGGGCAGCACTAGTCGCAGCAGAGAGGCCAGTGCTCCCGGTGTCATCCAGCGGTCGTGTCTCCACCGACAACCCTGCTGCCGTCATCGATTGGTTGGGTCGGTCGTCTTCCTCTTCCCAGGTCACCTCTGACATCCTACAGCCACGGTCGGTGGTTACTCACTGGCAACTACGTCACGGACACAACCGTTAGTTGGCATGGCCCGGGAGCAGTGTCAAGCCCACTGAAATCACGTGTCCTCTACCTGACCCTGTCCTTTGGTGTTCCCTCACAAGCGAAGTAGTCAGAATGCTGTGGGCTCAGCCCCACTGTACAGTGAGGAAGAGCTAACAGAGGGGCGGGTCAGCGGAACGGGGTGGAGACATCCGCCTCTTCAGCAGCAGGGCGAAGAAGTACTGGCGAGGAGAGTGGCTCGGTAGCTGGTTACAGGACAGGTCTGTCTCAGACCCACACGCAGCCGAGGGGGCTAGTAGTGAGGCGGAGTCCCATAATTGATGATGATGAGGCTGCATCGCACTTGGCAGGCAGCCTCGTCGTCATCAGGATTTGTTTCCGCATCTTCAGGCAGAAGAGTCGGTGCCAGCTTGGCAGCGAGCAAAACAGTCAGTGGGTTGCCCAGGAGGCAGCAGGGTCGCAGCAGTGTCAGTGGAGGCAAACGGCCACGGAGTTAGAGCACCAGCTCCACTGCAGCCTACCACCACGGCCAGTAGTGGTGCCGGTGTGCACGGAGGAAGTAGCAGTCAGCCAGTGAGGAGTAGCGGGGGCAAAGTTTCCTACTCGGCGGTGTGGCAATTTTTCGTCAAGCCGCAGGGATCCCGAGGAAGTAAACGTACGAGGCCGTATGTGTGGACTATGTGGCCAGAAAGTCAAGCGTGGCCAGGGGGCCCATGTCTCCATCGCCACACTCTGCCATGTGCCACTTTCAGGTCTTCCTCACACTGCTGGTGGGTTCCATTTTGTCATAGGGTGCTGGCAGATTACGGGCCTCCCATTGCTGCTGCCAGGCCCGTAATCTGTCATGGGCCCCTGTACCGCCTCCTCATGCTGCTGCCAGGTCCAGAGTCTCTCATGGGTCCCTGTACGGCCTCCCATTGCTGCTGTCTCCATCGCCACACTCTGCCATGTACCACTTTCAGGAGGTCTCCTCACACTGCTGGTGGGTTCCATTTTGTCATAGGGTGCTAGCAGATTACGGGCCTCCCATTGCTGCTGCCAGGCCCGTAATCTGCCATGGGCCCCCGTACCGCCTCCTCATGCTGCTGCCAGGTCCAGAGTCTCTCATGGGTCCCTGTACGGCCTCCCATTGCTGCTGTCTCCATCACCACACTCTGCCATGTGCCACTTTCAGGTCTCCTCACACTGCTGGTCGGTTCCATTTTGTCATAGGGTGCTGGAAGATTACGGGCCTCCCATTGCTGCTGCCAGGCCCGTAATCTGCCATGGGCCCCCGTACCGCCTCCTCATGCTGCTGCCAGGTCCAGAGTCTCTCATGGGTCCCTGAACGGCCTCCCATTGCTGCTGTCTCCATCGCCACACTCTGCCATGTGCCACTTTCAGGTCTCCTCACACTGCTGGTGGGTTCCATTTTGTCATAGGGTGCTGGCAGATTACGGGCCTCCCATTGCTGCTGCCAGGCCCGTAATCTGCCATGGGCCCCCGTACCGCCTCCTCATGCTGCTGCCAGGTCCAGAGTGTCTCATGGGTCCCTGTACGGCCTCCCATTGCTGCTGTCTCCATCGCCACACTCTGCCATGTGCCACTTTCAGGTCTCCGCACACACTGCTGTTTGGTTTCCATTTTGCCATAGGGTGCTGGCAGATTACGGGCCTCCCATTGCTGCTGCCAGGCCCGTAATCTGCCATGGGCCCCCATACGCCTCCTCATGCTGCTGCCAGGTCCAGAGTGTCTCATGGGTCCCTGTACGGCCTCCCATTGCTGCTGTCTCCATCGCCACACTCTGCCATGTGCCACTTTCAGGTCTCCTCACATGCTGGTGGGTTCCATTTTTTGTCATAGGGTGCTGGCAGATTACGGGCCTCCCATTGCTGCTGCCAGGCCCGTAATCTGTCATGGGCCCCTGTACCGCCTCCTCATGCTGCTGCCAGGCCCGTATCTGTCATGGGTCCCTGTACGGCCTCCCATTGCTGCTGTCTCCATCGCCAACACTCTGCCAATGTGCCACTTTCAGGTCTCCTCACACTGCTGTTGGTTTCCATTTTGTCATAGGGTGCTGGCAGATTACGGGCCTCCCATTGCTGCTGCCAGGCCTGTAATCTGCCATGGGCCCCCGTACCGCCTCCTCATGCTGCTGCCAGGTCCAGAGTGTCTCATGTGTCCCTGTACGGCCTCCCATTGCTGCTGTCTCCATCGCCACACTCTGCCATGTGCCACTTTCAGGTCTCCTCACACTGCTGGTGGGTTCCATTTTGTCATAGGGTGCTGGCAGATTACGGGCCTCCCATTGCTGCTGCCAGGCCCGTAATCTGCCATGGCCCCCGTACCGACTCCTCATGCTGTGACGTTGCAACAAGGTGGAATTCAACCCTACATATGTTAACCGCCTTTACGAACAGCGAAAGGCCATCACCGATTTCCTGATGTTACAAGCGGATAAAGGTACTCCCCTGTGTAACTTAGATGTCAGCCATTGGCAGCTCATGCGTGACACCTGCCGCTTGCTCAGGCCCTTTGAGGAGGCCACGCTATTCGTGAGTCGGCAGGACTATGGGGGATGAACGACGTCATTCCTCTGTTGCACGTCCTGGAACAAATGCTGTTAACAATGGCTGGTCAGGGTTCGGTAGACGTGGCACACAGATCTCAACGCCACATGACCCCTGTGGGGGCAGGACAGGAAGAAGAGGAGGAGGTAGAGGAGGACATTGGTGCTCAGGAATTATTGAGTGAAATGGGTGGTTTTTCCACTCAGCGGACAGGAGTGGAGGAGCAGGAGCATCTGGTAGAGGAGGAGGAGGAGGAGACAGAGGACCCAGACGCACCGTGGCAGTATGCTGTGGAGATGGAGGCAGGGAGTCCCTCGCATTCCTTGGCACAAATGGCCCATAGCATGCTCGGTTGCTTGCGTAGCGACAGCCGAATAATAACCATCAGACAGAGGGATGACTTTTGGCTGTCCACCTTGTTGGACCCTCGCTACCGTTCAAAAATGGTGGCCTTTTTCACACCTGCTGAGAGGGAGGCCAAAATAACGTACTATAAAAACCACCTATGTAGTCAGTTGGTCTCTGCCTTTCTGCGCCAACGTCCATCCTCAGACACTGTGGGCCCTGTGCGCTCGCGTTCCGCTGCCATGGCAGCAGGGGAGGGGTGGGGTGGTAGGAGCAGTGGCAGCTCCACCAGCAGCGGTTGCCTCAGTCTGCAGTCGATGATGAGTAGCTTTCTTCACCAGCGCAGTGAGGAGGAAACTACTGACCAGCTGCAGCAGCAGCATCAGGTGGACCTGGAGCAGGACCTCAAACAACAGGCTTGGGCCTACTTGGACAGCACCCTGCCAACCGAGGTAGACAATCCCCTTGACTACTGGGCAACGAAACTTGACCTTTGGCCCCAACTAGCTGAATTTGCCCTTGAAAGGCTGTCATGCCCGGCCAGTAGCGTGGCATCGGAGCGCGTGTTTAGTGCGGCAGGAGGTATTGTAACTCCGCGGAGGACACGACTGTCCACCCAAAGTGTGGAGAGACGCACGTTTGTGAAAATGAATCAGGCGTGGATTAGTCTGGATTTCAAACCACCAGTTCCTGACACAACTGACTAAATCCGCCATGAATCATGCCCCAAACATGTTAACTCTGCCATGTGCCACTTTCAAGTCTCCTCACACTGCTGGTGGGTTCCATTTTGTCATAGGGTGCTGGCAGATTATGGGTCTCCCATTGCTGCTGCCAGGCCCGTAATCTGCCATGGGCCCCCGTACCGACTCCTCATGCTGCTGCCAGGCCCGTAATCTGTCATGGGCCCCTGTACCGCCTCCTCATGCTGCTGCCAGGTCCAGAGTCTCTCATGGGTCCCTGTACGGCCTCCCATTGCTGCTGTCTCCATCGCCACACTCTGCCATGTGCCACTTTCAGGTCTCCTCACACTGCTGGTGGGTTCCATTTTGTCATAGGGTGCTGGCAGATTACGGGCCTCCCATTGCTGCTGCCAGGCCCGTAATCTGCCATGGGCCCCTGTACCGCCTCCTCATGCTGCTGCCAGGCCCGTAATCTGTCATGGGTCCCTGTACGGCCTCCCATTGCTGCTGTCTCCATCGCCACACTCTGCCATGTGCCACTTTCAGGTCTCCTCACACTGCTGGTGGGTTCCATTTTGTCATAGGGTGCTGGCAGATTACGGGCCTCCCATTGCTGCTGCCAGGCCCGTAATCTGCCATGGGCCCCTGTACCGCCTCCTCATGCTGCTGCCAGGTCCAGAGTCTCTCATGGGTCCCTGTACGGCCTCCCATTGCTGCTGTCTCCATCGCCACACTCTGCCATGTGCCACTTTCAGGTCTCCGCACACTGCTGTTGGTTTCCATTTTGCCATAGGGTGCTGGCAGATTACGGGCCTCCCATTGCTGCTGCCAGGCCCGTAATCTGCCATGGGCCCCCATACCGCCTCCTCATGCTGCTGCCAGGTCCAGAGTGTCTCATGGGTCCCTGTACGGCCTCCCATTGCTGCTGTCTCCATCGCCACACTCTGCCATGTGCCACTTTCAGGTCTCCTCACACTGCTGGTGTGTTCCATTTTGTCATAGGGTGCTGGCAGATTACGGGCCTCCCATTGCTGCTGCCAGGCCCGTAATCTGTCATGGGCCCCTGTACCGCCTCCTCATGCTGCTGCCAGGTCCAGAGTCTCTCATGGGTCCCTGTACGGCCTCCCATTGCTGCTGTCTCCATCGCCACACTCTGCCATGTGCCACTTTCAGGTCTCCTCACACTGCTGGTGGGTTCCATTTTGTCATAGGGTGCTGGCAGATTACGGGCCTCCCATTGCTGCTGCCAGGCCCGTAATCTGTCATGGGCCCCCGTACCGCCTCCTCATGCTGCTGCCAGGTCCAGAGTGTGTCATGGGTCCCTGTACGGCCTCCCATTGCTGCTGTCTCCATCGCCACACTCTGCCATGTGCCACTTTCAGGTCCTCACACTGCTGGTGGGTTCCATTTTGTCATAGGGTGCTGGCAGATTGCGGGCCTCCCATTGCAGCTGCCAGGCCCGTAATCTGCCATGGGCCCCCGTACCGCCTCCTCATGCTGCTGCCAGGTCCAGAGTCTCTCATGGGTCCCTGTACGGCCTCCCATTGCTGCTGTCTCCATCGCCACACTCTGCCATGTGCCACTTTCAGGTCTCCTCACACTGCTGGTGGGTTCCATTTTGTCATAGGGTGCTGGCAGATTACGGGCCTCCCATTGCTGCTGCCAGGCCCATAATCTGTCATGGGCCCCTGTACCGCCT